GAGAGGAGGTGCGGATTGGGAGTGAGTTCCATATAAACTCATGAAGGGAAACAATACTTATAATGTGTTGCCAAGGTTTGAAAGATAATTAGCCTTTGAAGAAAAAACGTAAGTTTCAAAATAAAATTGACTTACCTCTTAAGCTTCCATGGACAAATATATTTTAAATACTTAGAGAAAATCACATTTTAACTTTTAAAGACATATAACTATAACATTATAGTAAAAACAGAGGTAACAAATAACATATCATGAATATGAAATCTAGCAGAATCTGTATAAGCCAAAGTTCACAGTAAAAAACATCATCATTATTTAACCTCAACTATATGTGTATTAAGTTTTTTACTAACATTCGCACGAAACTTTTTCAATATATATCTACTGAGGGTAGAGGAGATTCCCAACTGTTACTGTAAATGACCAAATCATTTCTAATATATATCTATTGAGGGTGAAAGGGATTCTCAACTACTACTGTGAATGACCGAATCATTTCTAATATATATCTATTGAGGGTGAAAGAGATTCCCGATTACCACTGTGAATAACCAAATCATTTCTTTTTCCTATTGGAACTATTTTATTTCCTTTTTTGGGACATTTTCATAATTTTCTTGAGTCAGTTGCATAACTTTCTTAAGTCAGTTTCATAATTTTATTTGGTATAATTTATGACCACAGTCATTCTTCGCCACTGTGGTCTTATATATCATTTTGTGAGTCCACTATCGTTAAAGAAAAATGTCAATCATTCACAGGGAACAGTTTACCAATATTTATTCAAATAAGAGAGAAACAGAAATCTTTAAGAGATAATAGTTAAACATGTAACACCCAAATATTTTTTTTGAATTTTTATTTTTATTTTTGTATTTGAATTTTTAGTTTAATTTTTTTATATATTTAATTCATAAGATTTTAATTTAATTGAATTGAATTGAATTTAATTTAATGAAATAAAAATAAAAATAATGATAAAATTGGGTAAAAATATTATTTGGATTTAATTAAAATTGATTTTGGAAAAAATGGGTAAAAATTTAGATTATGGGGGTGTTTTTGAAAAGAAAATCGAAAATTATGGGTCAAAACGTAATTTAAAAAAGTTGTGCCACGTCAGCAGCCCCGGCCAACCAGGACACGTCGCGTGGCAAGGAAACGCTGACACGGGACGGGCCACGTGGGCGATCCGCGTGCACGCGATCAGACGGTTCAGATCCGTTCCCGCGCGCACGGACGACCCAGATTTCACGCATACGGACGACCCAGATTCAATCAGGTACGGACGGCCCAGATCGCATCGTGATGGACGGCCCAGATTTAATCCCAATTAAATCGCGGTCGGACGGTCCAGATTTAATCTTAATGGACGGTTGAGATTAAAAGACAAAGGGTATAAATAACCTCACCCACACCTGACCACAAAACCCTAGTCGTCAGTGCCTCGTCGGAGAAGAAGAACCAGACGCCGAAAGAGCCGGCTGCCGCCACCCGCCGCCGCACCAGAGAAGTTTCTGACCGTCAATCGAAGTAAATTTTCTCCATCTGGCTCGTTTTTCGATGCTGAATCCGCCTATGGCCAAACTAGAGCCAAACGGCCGGAAAATCCCGCCGAAGTCCGGTGGCACTGTCGCGACTCCCCTCTGTTTTTGCCTCCGATGATGCCCTTCCCGGCCTCCATTTGATGCAAATTTTATACCACTGTGATCACCGTTCTTTTCTCTACAGGTTAATCGGAGCCAAACATCAAAACGCGACTCACACCGGAGGAGCCGTCGCACCCGAGAGCACCGCCGCCGGTAAGTCTTGGTTTTTCGTGATTTTTTGGCCCACCGAGGGCCTTAGGGTTGTTTTATCGCAGGGACCGATGCAAGTTTGATCGAAAACGGCCAACCCGAGGCGAATCGCCACCGCAGGCGGCAGTGCCGTCGCCGGAGCACGGCGGAGCCACCGTGCTGGAATTTCGATATTAGTCGAAAGGGGCCCTAAGTCTGATTTGAAATTTTTTGGGGCACGTGCAGGTATCGGTAGTACGTTTCAGTTTTCCAAAAAAAATTTAAGGAAATTAGGGACAGTCCGTAGGCGCATTGTAGAGTCGATTTCAGACCCTGAAACAAGTAAGGACCCCTCACCCTACCTCCTATCACGGTATTAAAGCTTAATAAATAATTAAATTGTATTTTGTGACTTTATAGATGTATAATTGATTAAGGTTGCCAATGGAGTCCGAGTCGGATATATTGTTGGTCAGTTGTTGTTTGATCTAATTTTCAGTATTAAATGCAGTATTATGTTTGATGTAATTATGTGATGGTCTCGTATGCATGAATCATAGTTTCTTTTATTATAGTTTGTATTATGGTGAACCCGATACTGTGTTGTCTTGTTTGGTGTCAATTACTGGTTTACATGTTGTGTATGATTTGATGATTGAGATCAAGAAAAAAGACAAAAAGATTATGTGAATTGATAAATGGATAATATGGACAGTCTGACTAGATATATTGGGAGATGGTGGATGGACGGGTCCGTAGGGAACCCTACCGGGAACGTGGTCTCTCATACCGGACGGGGTATGGAGACCTTATGTGTTTTGGCACCCATACCGGACGGAGCATGGGGACGACCCGTTTCACCCTTATACCGGACGGGGTATGGAGGTTTAGGATTTTAGCGCCCATACCGGACGAGGTATGGGGACGACCCTGGAATCAGGTTATTAATGTTAATGGTTCACGTATAGCGGGGACCCCCTATGAATCTCCATGGATACTAGTAGGCTGGTAAAAGAGGAAAATATGTTGTTTAATGATTGAAATGCAAATGCCTGGTAACTGTTATGTTATAAAGTCTATATGATTTCATGATGATGATAATGTTATTGCTTTCATATGTTGTTTTCATGGATCTCACCAAGGTAAGTGGACAGTAAAAGTTTTTATGTTAATAAACGAGTTTGTTATAAATTATGCTCAATTGGTCATTTTTGTTTTCTACCCACCTTTACTTCTGTGGCGGTGAGATAGTGTGATGTCTTTACTGGGCTGATGTAGTTCATTCCTTATTTAACAATTTCAAATCAGGAAGACGTTGTTCCTGAACCCGTTCCGCAGGAAGACGGCGAAGGGGACGCCTAAACACTTCATAGTTATATTTATAGTTCTTATTTCGAGTATCTCTTTTAGTTAGTTTGTTCTTTCATATTTTAAGTACGTTTTGGTTATTGTGTAAGAGATGTTAATCAAAATTTTTATTACGTTTTCGCATTTGAGATTTTTAATATATACATTTTCATTTAAATTTTCAGAGCCGTTATAAAACATATTTTCATTATTTTCTCTTTCATTTTCAGTACTCCTTTTATGAGCATCACGTTTTTAGATGTATCACATATTCACAACTATTTCACATCCAAAACCCAGTGGGGCTCATCAATATATTCGACCAAAGGCCTATTATCTCTATATTTGACAATCGGGATATTCCTTGAAGCCGAATCTCGTTAGAACAACCCTATTTGCCATTACCAATGGTAGATTAAATGGTCAATTTCTTATTATTTTTATCAATGATAACAGTTTCGAATATCTAATTAAATCACCAAATGAGCATGAACAAAAATAAATCACAAAACAAATGAGAAAATCCACTTCAACAATTCTTTAATTTTTTTTTCAATTATTCGATTAAAAATAGCACTTATAAATATAAGTAAAAATACTAAGAATTCCATACTATAACTGCAACGTCTAGATTCGTTACTTAGTGAAGAAGAAAAGGGTTGCGTGAGCTTCTTAATTTTTTTCGCTTATTTCTCTCTCTAAAATTTATCATTATCTATTCTAATTTACTAAATTAAAAAAATGAAATGATGAAGAATGAAGAGGGGAATGGAGCCTTTTTAAAGAGAATTTGAGGGTTGGATTCACACCATTTGGTGGAAATTGGAGGAGCCAAGTGGAGGCATGGTGGGTGGGTGTGAGCTCCATATGGCAAGAGGTCGTTCAACGTGATAACCGGCCACATTGGAGTGGCAAGCGGCTGACAACAAGCTTGCTGGCAGTAGCTAGTGCAGGTGCGCCATATCGCGTGCTATGCGCGCATGGTGTGCATTATACACACGCATGACATGTGCTTAGGTATCTTGTCTGAGTAGTGCACAGCGCGCACATACGTCTGTGCCCGCGCGAGCTGACCACACGCAGGGTTGTGGATTATTGGGATTTTTTTCGCCTTTCATTGCGCAAAATTTTCGATTCTTTCAATTTTTTTAGAATTCAAATGATTAATAGGACTCAAAATAACGGAGTTTGTTATATTAATCGGTCATAAACTTTAGGGTGTTACAAAACAAATTTATATTCACGTATCGTGAGTTGGTCAAACCTTATTTATAGAAAAACCTTACTTGAAAAAATGGTTTCCCCTCAAGCTTTTTTCTTCCTCCATCTATTATAATGAAATTGTGAGAAAAATTATTTATTTGCTTTCTTGATACCTCGAATATCATTCCTAGTAATTTTTAATTACGTTTTCTTAAATAATAATATATAAAATAAATATTTAATATTATATACATAATCATTAAATTAAATAATTAATTATTTAATAATAATATAATTAAATTAGTAGATTATAATTGACATCGATTAATAAATCATAATTTTTGAAATATATCAAAATAATTTTTTTTTAAAGTGCTTGTATCAATAAATTATGGGCAAGTAAATTACTCATTTAATTTATTGCATGTCAAAGAGTATACTCATTAACATTTAACACTATGCTTAAATATAAAAATATAAAATATATTAATTATATTTTTCTTCAATTATTTATTGCATAAAATAAATAAAAAAAATGTTAAAATGTACAATAATCTACAAAATAAGTTATTTTTATCCAATTTCAAAAAATAAAATAATTTCCACATAATACAATGAATTTTAGGGGTAGAAACGTAATTATCGGAACTTGTTGAGGGGCTTTTTTGTAAATAAGATAAAAGTTTGGGGCATTTCAATTGAGCGCGGGCTCACTCTACTTCCCTCTATAAAATCTGAAAATGCTACGAATCAGTTTCGCTAAAACTTTCATATGGAGACAGAGAGAGAAGAAGAGTCGAATCCAGTTTTGCAGAAGGAGCCACCAAAAATCCATCGCCTAGACGAGTCCGTGGTCAATCGAATCGCGGCTGGTGAGGTGATTCAGCGGCCATTTTCGGCCGTGAAGGAGCTTGTGGAGAACAGTTTGGATGCCGATTCCACTTCCATCAATGTCGTCGTGAAGGACGGTGGTCTCAAACTCATTCAAGTATCAGATGATGGCCACGGCATTCGAGTACGTTGCTTATTCTTCTTCTTCCTGTTTGTTTATATTTATTTTTGGACTCGAGCTCATTGAAGTATCAGGTAATGGCCGCGGCATTCGAGTTTGTTGCTTCTTCTTCTTCCTGTTTGTTTATATTTATTTTTGGACTCGAACTAATTCAAGTATCGGATGAGGGCCACGGCATTGGAGTATGTTGCGTCTTCTTCTTCTTCTTCTTCTTCCTGTTTGTTTATATTTAATTTTGAACGTTATTGCTACCAAACAGGGACGGAAAATTGAGAGAGTCTGAAGGTCCCGTTTCTGTTATTTCTTGGTTAACGTGCAAAAAGATAATGTATAGGGTTTTCAGTTGTTTGACCGGCATTGGTATTTTTGTTATTCTGATTAGTACGAAGACTTGCCGATACTGTGTGAGAGGCACACGACGTCGAAGTTGTCTAAATACGAGGATCTATTTTCTATTAAATCTATGGGTTTTCGAGGAGAGGCCTTGGCAAGTATGACATACGTTGGTCATGTAACGGTAACCACCATCACGCAAGGGCAGATGCATGGTTACAGGTCTCTTATTCTTCTCGTTCCAATATCAAAGTTTAGGCAATTAAGGACAAATATTTACTCATCGATTATACTTAAGAGATTTAGATATTTTTGGAGGAAATGGAATTATGGATACTTGTGATATACAGTTGAAGCATTTTTTTTATTCCTTGAGTTTACTCTCAACCTTACTGGGTGTTAAAATTTAGCGATTGAATGTTGGAGCTTACTTTTCAGGGTGTCTTACAGAGATGGTCTGATGGAGCATGAACCCAAAGCATGTGCTGCTGTTAAAGGAACCCAGATAATGGTATGAACAGTCACGTGGTTTTCCTTGATTTTTCTCTCATGGCCTGTTTGGTTCTGTTTCTATTCCATTTTCCAAATCCCATCCTTAATGTTTTTATAATATTCTTTATGTATGTAAAACACCAATTTTCATGTTCGAGCAACCCACATTCGCACCTTGTGTCCTTGGGGTGGAAATGTAATTCCTAGAGATTTGCTAGGAAAGAAATATAACATTGAAGCAAATGATACTTTGAGCTTTTTTTTTAAAGGCGGTTGCAAGATACTTTGAGCTTTTAATGCCTACTAACAATAGGCTATGAAGAACATTCCACCAGATAATGGTAAAATGATTTTCTCTCATGGCTTCTTCACTTCTTTCTTAATTCCGTTCCTCTCTAACTTCTTTAATTTGGGTAATAGTGTTTGAACTTATGATTGCAATGTTGTTTTCCTTGTTTAAGCTATCCATACACACACCTTGAAGCAGAATATAGTTACTAGAAAGGAACCAAAGATTACCTTAAGGTTTTGATAGGCTACAAATAATGTGCTACTTGAGCAGCTAACTTTTAGGTAATGAATGAGATTGAGAAAACTAATAAGTCCAATTGATTAATTGAATCAAGAAAAGGCATATCATTATTAAACCTGGAGTAGCTTCAGTTTTTACCTCTTGTTTTTCAAGTGTCTGGATGCAATTTCAGTGGACTTTCATATTGTATCATTTGAGATGATTCAGCTTTACTTATTTGATGCAAATGCTAGATTGTCCAAAGCTTGAGGGCTTTTTTTTTTTTTTCTGAAAAAAAGAAAAAAGAAAAAAGAAAAATTGGTTCTGATGCGCTGAGCTGGTGATTAGAATGTTCGACAAATTGGGATCGAAGGGATAGTGGCATATGCTTTTTGTATCTGTATTCTTGAATCTTTTTCATGAATAGGTGGGTTTTTTCAGGTGGAGAACTTGTTCTATAACATGATTGCTCGGAGGAAGACACTAGTGAATTCCGGTGATGACTATTCAAAAATAGTGGACTTGCTGAGCCGCTTTGCAATTCATCACAAAGATGTGAGCTTCTCTTGTAGAAAGGTCAGTCTCTTGATCAATGCAATTTTACCACCACTATAGTAAGATGTGTTGTTTGCATGCTTAACATTTCTCGCCTAGATAATGCCTGTTTATTCTATGATCAGCATGGAGCTGCCAGAGCAGATGTTTATTCTGTTGCGACATCATCAAGGCTTGATTCCATTAGAAGTGTTTATGGGGTTTCAGTTGCTCACAATTTGATCGAGATAGAAATTTCAGATGATGATCCCTCTAGTTCCATATTTGAGATGGATGGTTTCGTATCCAATTCTAACTATGTGGCCAAGAAAACAACATTGGTGCTTTTTATCAATGGTATATACTTTCTTTATATCCCTTTGGAAACAAAAACTGGCTTATGGAAATCTTCTTTTCAGTTTTCTTGAGTGCTGTGTGCTTGTACTCATTGCAAAATGCTTTCTTGCATATAAATGTCTTGTCCCAAAATGTAATTTTTTCTTTTGTCCAACCTATCAACACTTTTCTTTAATAAATATATAAAATAAGAAATACTATTATAGAGAAAAAATATTTTAAAATGAAAGTGGGAGGATAAGATATCCTCCACAAAAGAGACCATCGCATTATCCCCTGTGCCACTAAAAAGAAGGCTCCAAAGAGAAGCACAATAGTCATTTAGCCACCAAAACAAGGTTCTTGGACATAAGAGTCCTGTACCAATCTTTACAAGAAAAAAAAGGATTATTTGCGATGAAGACTCCTTATGCCAATAATGCCATCCTTTCTTGACTAGTAACACACTTTCTAGTTAACCGAATAATCTTTAAGATCCTTATCCACTCAAGGCTAAAGAAAATTTGTACACGCATTTTCTGTACACCTCTCAATATGCAGAGGTAGGACTTTAGTGATAATTCTGTACACGTATGTCATTAGAAAAATGGGATGATGATCAATAACTGTAATAGGTTGATCATTGGTCGGGATACGAGTGATAAAGTTAGAATTGATTCTAATACCCATGTTACTGTTCAAACAAGAATCTTGGAATGCCTGGAAGAAATCTCCTGTCATCAAATCCCAGCATTTTCTAAGGAAGTGATGGAAAATCCATAGGGACCTAGTACTTAATCAACCCTCATGTGTCAAATGGCCCTTTTGATATCTTTTTGAAAGGTCTTTAACTGTCTATCTCTAGAACCAACAATAGGGTTCTAGTCTAACCTCTCAAGAAAAGGATGATTGAATTTTCCTCCTCATATAATCTCCTATAATAACCAGTGACCTCATTCTCAACTGAACAGTCCCTAACCACCCTGCTATCAACGAGTTTCATTTCTTTAATAGATCTCCTGTGTCTTCTCGCATTGGCCAGCCTATGGAACAAATTGGTGTTAGCATCACCGTCCTTTTGCCAATTTAGTTCTGGACTTTCTTTTCCAACTGGTTTCCTCCTTGAAAGAAGTTCCTCAAACTCTTTACACACAATGTTTGATCTCTCCTGTTGATCCACCATGAGATGCAACCTCCAACCTCTCCAGATGACTCATCGGATTAAGGAGAACCTGTTTCTTGATCCTAATATCAAGTTTTACACAGTGTCTTCTTTATCTGGGTTGTTTTAATGGGTATGGTTTTTGATGTATTACAGTCTTGTCTGTAGGAACAATTCTTTTCGTGGTGTTCTATTACCAGAATATGTATGTATCTGATATTTAAATTCTCATAAAACTGTTTTGGCTTTTGCTTTTCTGATGCTCCTTTTCATTTACAACAGACAGATTGGTCGAATGCACTGCCCTGAAGAGAGCTATTGAAATTGTTTATGCTGCAACCTTACCCAAAGCATCAAAACCTTTCATTTATATGTCAATCAAGTTGCCATCTGATCATGTTGATGTTAACGTGCACCCGACAAAGAAAGAGGTATTTTTATGATATTATTTTTAAAAAATTCATAAATGCAAATGGAAAGTTCTTGTTTGCCATTATATACTAAATTTCTTAACTGAAGCGACTAAAAGCCTTTAAAATTCAAAAATTCCCTTCACATTTATACTGATACATAATGTAAAAGAAGTATGCCAAGCTGATGATTCTTTTGATAGAAAAAGAAGTGTTATTCAGTTGAGAATGAAATAGTTACAAGTGCGAAGAATAAGACATTCTTCTGGAACCTTCTATAAAAAGGTTCAGAAATGCGTAACACAATTAGAAATCAAGCTTATAATCAACCCAGGTAGGGATTCTGGGATTCGTTAATATTTTTGTATATAGTTTGCTCCCTTTTGGTGCTGATTAATGCTATACTTTTTTTCTATAAAAAAAGATGTGGAAGATAATGTTGGACTTTTTTTTGGTTTAGCAGGGGTGGGGATACTAGGCATCATTTTAGTAACTGGGAGGTATATCTATTTCTTAGGAAGGGGGATTAGATATCGCAAAATCTAGTAGGGTTGCTGAAATTTGTTACCTATTTTTCATTTTTCTACCAAATGACTAAACTGAAGTTACCGAAATTGTATCGATTTAATTTGGTTTGGTATTTCGTTTTTGATTTGACAGATTCACCCTTAATCTCTTGGTAATTTTTTTTTATACATTGACACAACTGCTATATATTTTTCTCCCAACTTAAATTTTTATGATTCTTTGTTACCTAAATCAGAGAAGGAAACATAAATCCTTGTGCAGGTAAGCCTTTTAAATCAGGAAGTTATTATTGAGAAGATACAGGCAAGGATAGAATCAAAATTGAGAAACTCAAATGAGACGAGGACATTCCAAGAGCAGGTACATTTTCCAAATTTGGTAGTGACACAATGAAACTTACTCTTTATTTCTTCAAACTATATCTCTGTTCCTGATCCATGCCATAAGGTATTTCTTACACCTGCTCTTGAATAGATAAATAGACAACATAAGAAGAATGCCTATTTTTCCCATAACATATAATTTAGCTTTGCATTGATTTGGTTGAATTTACTCAAACTTAATCGTGTTCCCTAATTTAATGGTTTGAGGTACTGTTGAACCATGTTTGAGGCCATAGTCATACTAATTTATTCCTATTTTTCTTTTTATTCTCTTAATATTTTTCTAATATTAAAATTGCTAAGAACAAGGATAAAAGAATATGGAAGTTAGACCATAAGAGCGGCTTCTCTGTTAAATCATATTATCAATTTACTACTAAGAGAGAGAACAGCAACATCCATACAGCCCCCTTTATACGAATATGGAAATCTAAAGCACCACCAAGAATCGGATTTTTTTGCTTGGGAAGCAGCTAAAGAGAGGATTTTAACAATTGACATACTTAGAAGAAGAGGGAATATGCTGATTAACAGGTGCTTCTTATGCAAATCCGATGAGGAGACCTGTTACCACTTGTTATTGGGTTGCCCTGTTACTTACGGCATATGGTCTTCTGTTTTGAGGCTTATTGGGGTGGATTGAGTTATGGCGAGTAGTGTAAGTAATGAACTTTGGGCTTGGGAGGATTTGTGTAAAGAAAAAGAGAGACATTTATTTCTTGTACCGCTTATTATTTTTTGGGTGATTTGGAAAAAAAGAAATGTTAGAGCTTTCGAGGGGGTTGAGACTAACTTTACTAATATTAGAAATAGATGGATATACACTTTTGGATCTATCTTGTTGGGTCATGATATTAAAGATCTTGATGATATGAGTGCGCTCATCGACTAATTGATAGATTTTTAACTATTTTGTATATGGGCAATACCCCCTTGGTACTTCACTTTTATTTCAAAAAAAAATATGTGTTTAAGGTGGGGTAATTTTTTACAATCTCATGCACTTTGACATGCATAACTCATTGGATTTAGTTGGTGGTGTTTCCTTAAAAAAATTTGACTTCTAAATTCGGATTAGAAAAAAATATTTACTTTAGCTGATGATCTAGTTGATTGCTTATGGATATTGTTGCTCATATATTTATATACTGAACTGATGGTTTCTGCAATTAGATAGTATTGAGTAGTATAATTTATTATCTAAATATTTTAATTATTAGTTGGTATTATGTAATTAGAATTATATTAGAATAGTAATTTTATATAATCAAGATTATAATAGAATGGTTATTTCCTAATTAGTAGCTTAAAAATTTTATAAATATTCAGGTATTACAACCTAAAAGATGAGAAATAAAATTATTTTTTCTCCTAAAATCTACATGTTATCAAAGCGGAATAAGGGTATTTTGGAGTTTTACTTTTAGGATTTCTTTAAAACCCTAAAACAACAAAAGGAAGCTGAGGAGAAAGAGAGCCAGATCAGGGGGAAGAGGGGAAAGATCAGAGGAAGGGAGAAGGTGGTTGGATCCTGTGCGCAGAGTCGCGCAAAGGGCAAGCCGGTTTCTTCCTCCACCATGCGTAGAGATGCGAAAAGGGTGAGCCGGCTTCTTCCTCCACCGTGCGCAGAGCCGTGCGACCTAGTTCCTTCTTCCACTACACGCAGAGATGCGAAGACGCTCTCAATTTTCTTCTTCTTCAGCCACGCATAGAGATGCGCGACCTAATTCCCTCTTCAACCGCACGCAGAGCCGTGCACGGCACCGAGGTTTCCTTATTTAGCCATGCGCAGAGGCGCAACCCAGTTCCCTCTTCAGCTGCGCGCAGAGCCGCGCAGGGTGAGGTTTCCTTCTTCTTCAGCCGCATGTAGAGCCGCGCGACAACCTCTGGTTTCTTCTTCCTCTGCGCGCAGAGATGCGCGATCTGCTTCACTCCGATCGTACAAAGCCTCTGGCCACGACCTACTAGTCTTCTACTAGGCACAAGCTATCCCCTTCGCTGCACGCAGAGTTGTGCGCGGGGAGTTTTTCTGGCCAGCTGCATTGAGCCGATTTGAGCCGTTGAGCTGAGCTGATTTCAGCCTAAGCCGAGCCGCCTGCACCAAGTCGAGCCGAGTTTTAACCGAGTTGAGCTGTTTTCCAAGCCAAGCTGAGTTGAGACAGACAAATCTAATTTTAGTATTTTCTGTCCTTTTTGGCTATTTTTGGTGCAAATTATGAGGTTTATTTTTATTATTGGGTATTTTTTTCTTATCTTTAGCACTCTAAAATAACAAAAGTAAAAAAAGTAATGGATTCTTATTCGAATAACCCTTCATTGGAAATTAGTCCCGTAAAACTTGATGAAACTCGTTATCTTGTTTGGTCAAAATGTTATTTATTGTTTATTAAAGTTAGAAAATTGTAGGAGTACATTACAGGTGATATAAAAATACCAAAAATAGGTGATTTGAAATATAACATATGAGACTCTGAAAATTTTTTGGTAATGTCTTGGCTAATCAAATCCATGCAACCACATATTGCACGAACGTATTTATTATTCGATACTGCAGCAAAAATATGGAATGTAACATCTCTTATATATTCATAAGTGGGTAATGATGCCCAAGTTTATGAACTCTGCAATAAAATTCATGGCACAAAATAAGGAGAAATGATTATTTTACAATATTTTTTTGAATTGGGTGGTTTATGGTAAGAATTAGATTACTATCAAAACCTTCAAACAAATTATCCTACAGATGCAGTCAAATTTCAGAAATTGATAAAAAAGAGCGAATTTATGATTTCTTAGCTGGTTTAAACACCGAATATAATCAAATACGGATCCAGGTACTTGGTAAGAATTATTTTCCCTCATTAGAACAAACTTATTCTTATGTCCAGTAAGAAAAAGTAGAAGGAATGTCATGCTTTACATAGCACCAGTTGCGAAAATTGGATTAATTGCTCAGTCTGAACAATTTAAGGATCTACGGGGGTGTGACTATTATGACAAGTCAAAACACACAAGAGAAACTTGTTGAAAGTTGCATGAAAAGCCAACTAGAGGTAGTGAGAGAAAGAATGGTGGACTTACGAGAGTTCAAGAAAATTTAGTTAAGAAAAGTGAAACACCTGGCACACCAACAGTTAGAGCTTTTTCAAATGAGAAGATTTAGTCTCTGAAGTGTATTGTTTCAATTTAACTTTTTATCAACTATGGGTGTAACAAATCTAGTACAATCAAAATTTTCGAATAAGGAAGAAAATTGATACTGGTAAATTGCAGGATGACTTTTCAGAATCTGATCTACAAGTTGGGCATGAGAGGTATCCCTGCACCAACTTGAGGGGGGTGTTGAATAGTATAATTTATTATTTAAGTATTTTACTTATTAGTTAGTATTATGTAATTAGAATTTTATTAGAATAGTAATCTTATATAATTAGAATTCTAGTAAAATAGTTATTTCTTAATTAGTAGTTTAAGTATTTTATAAATACCTAGGTGTTACAATTTAAAAAATGAGAATAAAATTATTTTTTCTCCTAAAATCTACGGATAGCTTTGTCCTTATTTTCCTGTAGACTATTAGTGGTAGTATTTCGGCTTTAAATTATCTCTTTAGTTGTCGCATTGTTGGTTTATGTACAAGAAGGTGTTTGAGCATGCTTATATCTTAA